GTGTTCATAGTATATCACATAGCTCTGCGAAAAAGAAGGGAGGAGGAGGGGTACGGTACCATTACGCTATATGGCAATACCGTAAATCAACATTGAAATTGCACACCATTTGGCATGCTTATCTGACGTTCTAAAAGATAAGCAAACAGGTGACGAATGAGGGAGGGGAAGGGCCGGTTAGGTGGGGGCGTCCCTCCTTCTTCTCTCTTAAAGAATGGGTACCGAACTTTTGAAGGTTGAGGCACAATTCGATTAGTATAAGAGGATAAAATTTGAAAGATAATAGTAATGGTGCAATTGCTCTAACTCAAAATCTCAAAATTCCTTCACTTTTGAAGGAGGAAGGGAGGAAGAGAGAGAGAGAGAGAGAGAGGGGGGAGAGAGAGAGAGAGAGAGAGAGAGAGAGAGAGAGAACTTTTTAATTGGCTTGGAGAGCTTTGGACACTCGCTATCAACAGTCAGATTTTCTTGCACTAAAAATTTGAGAAGTTGCCTCTAATTACATTACACACATCGCATGACTGTACTTGTTGTAGATGTGCCAACCTATACATAAAATGGGCTGAGGACCTTGAGATGCGCGGTGCGATTGCAGATGCACGAGCAGTATTTCGTCGAGCACGAAAACAAGGCGCACTACCACTAGAAGCTATTGATAGTGCGGAGGATCAGCTGGAAATGCGAGAAATGCGGCGGCAACTCGAGGGTAATGAAAACAGCGATGACTCGTTGGATGAGGATGAATTTGATGAAAATGGAAAACGTATCGCATTCACGCGATTAAGAAGTATGTCAAGGCTTAATGTGTTGCTATTTCATCAGGGGAGTTGATTGATCTTACATTAAATAAGCGAAATAATGATTCAGCCATGGATGGATTCCCAGCAGCTCCTGTCGTTCGGCTACCCAGTGTGGTTGAAGAACAAGGTAGCAAAAAGCTAGATCGAGGTCAAGGAAAACAGAAACTCATTAACAATGGTGTGCCAACTTTTCAGGTATGTACATCATTAGGGATGTAGGAGGGAGACTTTCAGATGTGCACTTTAGGTACTTGAAGATGAAGAAGAGGTTATGGAGAGCTATTTGGAAGGTATCTATGAAGTTAACAATCATATAGAACGATTTTCTTTGCACGATCCCAATATGGAAAAGTGGAAAGCGAGCAAAGTATGTTTAAAATTTAGGCCAATCTGCAATTCTTTAAATTTATAATTTATTATTCTTTAGTTGGTACTTGCAATTATTTGCACGATCAATGGCCAATAAGTCTCAGAAACTTTGAAATTGGTTCATTCTTGCTTTCAGGTACCTTTGAAAAAATTGAACAATTGTGTAAGCAGTTTTACGGTGTACCAAGACGACGAGAACAAAGAAAACACTGACCCTCAAACAAACAAAGTAGCGAAGAAACCGGTACTAAAGCTCCGAAAATGCTTGATAAAAGATATCTCTATCGAGGTAAGGTTTTTTTTGTTATAACGGGCATCTCAGGACCTACTAGATCTGCTGTACTTGTAATTCGCAAAGAGCAAAGATTTGGAAAAGTTGCTTAACCCAAGCTATTCGAAGAGCATAATTAGATTCTTTTTGATAGTCTACCGGTGTCTCACTCTTTTCTTATCGACCTCTTCTTTCAAAAAACAAAAATGCCTTTAATCAAATTATTTTTAAAGGAGCATCTTGCCATGATGTATGAAAAAAACGAAGCCAAGGAGGATGTCAAGAAAGTGGTGCGTAAAATAAACTTCGACGATGACGACGATGAATAGTTTATAATGGTTATCCGTGTAACGATTTATAATCAATCAGCAGCTTTTTTGTACAGTTTTATCTTATCATTAGAAGACATGCTAATGCTGCATTTGTGTCATTCTTCATAATCAACAACTCTAACTCCTATAAAGGTTTATGAGTATTGTGCTGAACTGTTTTAACAAGTTTTTATCATTATATCGATCTGTATAAAGCCTACTAGGTTGGAAAAATTACTCTAAACCTTCGTCGATCAGTTGAAAATTGTGTTGAAATTTACTAGCAAGATTTTTCCCAACACAATTTTTGAACTCATGTATAAATCCATAATTTATTCGTGGAAATAATATTTGCAGCGACTATTATTTCCGGGAAAAGGCAGTCAATGCTGTACTGAAACTATTGGAGTCTAAAATGATAAGTTGAAGCTGTCCGTAGTCGACTTTTACACACAGGAAATTTGTTCTACAACAATTACGGCGCCCTCAAGGGAGAACTAGTATGTTTACGTTCGGAAATTAGGCATTGTGTAGCAAAATTTCTAAAGTGGGGCGGGGATGTTCATTCAACTCCCCCAAAAGCTAAGGCCCGCTTTACCTAGACATTTACGTTACTTGCCAGCGAAACTGCGTTTGTTGGCGAAAAAGTCCGCAAAGAAAAATGAGTATTTTCTTTCGACTAATTACTTTTAATCACTACCCTGACCTCTCAGTGAGAATCTGATGGCTCTACCATGATTGGTATCTTGAGTAAGCCATTAAATTCAGGGAAGCTAGAACTTCTACTTCGTAAAGGGTTGTTGAGAAATCGAGTAAATCTAAATATTGTCACATATCTGCCTCCAATTTTTTTTT